CAGACTTGAGTTGCTCCACAAACTGTTCCCGGGCATCATCCATTGCGGTAAAGCAGATTGGACTGCTCAAACGTGTTTTTGGATCGTTTGAGCCGGCTTTGTTTCCACGTCTGGTAGCCACGTATATTCGTCCATATACTGAGTACTCAATTCAAGCCTGAAACCCACGGTTGCAGCGAGATCTGAAGACACTCGAACATCCACAGAGAATGGCTACCAAAATGGTCAAAGGTTTGCATTCCAAGAACTACGGAGAAAGAAAACAGATCCTGGGGCTATACTCATCCCAATATCGTCGAAGCAGAGGCGATATGATTTTACTCTATTGGATTTTCCAACAACCCAACCACCCCTGTAGATCTGTGTTGGTTTTATCGCACAACGTTCATCTCAGAGGGCATCCGCTGAATTTGGCACACCAAAAGAGCCGTCTCGACTGCAGACGTCACTCGTTTGCAGTCAGAGTGTGCAGCACATGGAACTCTCTACCAGCTCACGTTGTCTGTGCCCCAACATTAGTATCTTTCAAGCGTCAGCTTGATGATGCCCTGGCAAACGTTACATTTCAATACCCAACTACATAACATATTCTCCTGTGCTCGTCAAAACATTACTTTACTACTTTACTTTCATGGACTAACTGTGATATTGCGAATCGTCATCCGAACCAAAGTGTAAACACCTTATGGGATTTGTAAAAGCGAAGTCTTTTTAAGTTAAATCCCATAATAAGAATTTGAATTTGAATTTGATTTAACTTTACAAACAAATAAAATTTAATCGATTTAACAGGTAATTCACTAAGATGAAACGTACTGCTGCTAAGTCGAGCTTTCAGCTGCGGTACATTTACAACTCTACCCGATGAAACTGTGTCAAATAGCAACGGGATTGATCACAACTCACAAGTCTGTCGCCCACATTGTTTGTTTGTTTTTGATGGGTAAAACTGGTCGCTTTGTGTTAACTACTCATTGTTCGTAAAAAAAAAACACTGGACACAGTTATCAGTCATCGCAGGACGTTGACAAGTAACAGTTGGTTTGGCTGAACGCTTCGGATCTGAGTTTTCGAGAAATGTAAGAAGAATTGAAGTATCTCAATCCGCTGAGGAGAAACAATACAAAGAGTGTTTTCTTCAAATCTTATCGATCTGTCAGGAATGAGACGTTTGAATTCTTCTCATGTGTCCCGAAAACTCAAACCCGAATCGTTCGGTCAGACCAAATGTGTTTGTTCATCGTCCGTCAAGTCCATCTTGCAATGACTGACAGTTGTGACCTGCTTTTCACGAGCAGCGAGCGTTTAAGATAAAGCGATCAGATTCCCCCACCACAAACACACACAGGCACAAATGATTCAAGGGGGCATTGTTTGTGGACGGACCTGTGAGTTATAATCTCCAATTGCCATTTGAAGCACAGTTTTGTCGAATAAAAATACAACTGAGCTACGAATGAAAATTCTACTCAGCAGCAGTGAGTGTTTTCCTCTTCCTGGAGCACCTGATAGATATTTGTGCGCGTGCAACTGGGCTATTCGTAAAATCTCTTCCTTCTGACAAAATACGTTTGAGTGCTGTAGTTAGTAAAATAATGGTTCCAGCTCTACCGATTAAGGAGAGTCAATTTCAGTATACGTTTCAAATGAAATATTATATTATTTTTTTATTATTATATTATATATTATATATTATGTTATGCAGTAAACAGGAGGACCACAGCCATAGAAGCAGTCGGCGGAATTCCGATTCAGGAAGCCCTAGTCGTTAGTTTCATGATCATAGTTAATAGATCACCACTCATCACTCGACAGTATGACCATAGCTTAAGCCTACAGTTAAGTAAAGTAGGGATTACGCCAAAGGAACATCAAAGACCCCAATTACGAGACGATTCAGGCCAAGTGATCTCAATTCCGCTGGTTTGAAATTGATGGAGTGATCAGTTCTGCATCGTCTTCGGTTATCCTCTACCACCCGCGATAAAACGTATCAGTTTGCATATAAACGAAACCACTCTACATTGGGTGCCGTTTCTTCTTCAGTTCATTTCATCTGTACATCCCTAAACGAGAAAGCCAAATATGTGTATTGTGCCATTCTTGACTATTCCTCCACTTTTGACTTGGTACCCCGTTCTCTTTTACGAAACAAGCTAGAATCTTTTGGCTGTTCCTTCTTGAATGGCTTGCTGATTACTTTACGCAAAGATATCAGAATGTTAAATTGATAAGAAGACAGTCAATCGCATCACTCAATAGCTCAGGTGTACTTTTTCCTACCTATATCGGTGACTTACCTATTTCTCCCCCTGTTCGACATTCCAAGTATGCTGATGATATCGCCATTTCTGTTTCCGTATCTAACCAATCAGAACTGGTTCAATATGACACAAACCTATCCCACCTCGTTTCATATTCCACTTTTTCCGGTCTTAATCTTAATCCGGAAAAATGCTTTGAATCTATTTTTACTCTGAACCGTACCACATCTCCCTCCGACACTGGTTTCTGTGTCCTTCGTATTCAGTGAGTAATCGATCAACAAATCATCCATCTCCTCGGCCGACTAATTGAACCCGATTCCGCGGATTGTCAGTTCGCTGTCATTCAGGGAAGCACATGACTTCCGGAATTCCTGACCCGATTGACTAATTCCAGCAAGTCTGAGAGGACCACGTTCAATTTGTCCCGGGGTTGAATGATTAGACTCCTGGGACGAAATGGACCACAGTTTCAAATTGTCCTCATCGTCCGAGATTAAATCATCCTCGTCGTCCTCATCGTCGTCCTCATCCGAAGGGCTATTAGATACACGTATTCGACTGATCGTGAATGATTTCCCCACACGACTGCCAAGATTTCGTTTTCTGTAAAAATATAATTTGGGACGGGGTAAGTAGCGGGGGGGGAGGCAGCGTGAATCGATAAGCTATTTTGTTTCGCATGAGTTAAAATATTTTTCCATAGGCATCTGCAAAATGAAAACTGTTTTGAATTGTGAAAATTTCCGAAGCCTCGGTAGAATTCGAACCCACGCGTGGAGGTTGCGTACCGTTTGAAATCAAAACTGCAAATTACAATGTAGATCACCTATCGAGTGACGCAAATTTGTAAAGTAAAACAATTATACCTTTGCATAGAAACTTAACTTATTGTTTTTAGAAGATTTTCAGGAGCATTAACCGTCAACAAAACATGATCTAATGAATCACCGAACCCTACAGGCTCTCCGTCACATTGTGGGAATTTTCACCTTTTCACTCACTATCATGCGCCGTCGTTACTCACGGGATGATATTATTTGTTTCAAATGTGCCAGGACATGCTTCGATGGTTCAGCGGTTTGTGCGACTCCATTTTCTCATTGTCCAGGCTGGACCAAACAACGTAAGCGTGCAGGTTAACAAGTTGCCCTTAATTGCAACCCTCTGTCAAAGATGAACGTCCCCTCACTGGTCAGCGCCAACACTCGATCCCTGTTTCCCAAAATGTCGGATTTAACTAGTATCCTCCGATCAAGAATTCATACGAACACGTGTGCAGTGTGTTAAAGAATCCTGGTTGAATAAAGACTCTCTAGAGTCAATAGACGGTTTTCAAGTTTACCGGCACGATCGTAAAACCGGAGGGGGTGTTGCCACATGTGTCAACGTGTCCTGGTGTGGCAAGTCCCATGTTGTTTATCAGTACTGCTCAAAAGGTATTGAGTGCCTAACTATACAGTGTCACCCTAGATTTTCCCGTTTTACTCACACAAGTTTGACTAACTT